CTGGCCGTGTCTGCTCTCGCATAATTTGGCACGGCCAACTGAGCACTCGGCACGGCCGAGTGAAATTCCTCGGCCAGCCCGTGTCGGCCGACACGGGCAAAGGTGCTCCTGACACGGCCGTGCGAGCCAGGCCGTGTGGCCGAGACACGGCCTATATATTCGGCCAGCACGGCCGGGTCGTCAGAAATTTCAAAACCCTCGCCGGAATCCTCTGAAACTCGCCGGAAAACCGCTACAAAACCCTACTTTTCGATTTTTTCGGCCATTTTTTGTCATTTTTTCACCAAACCAACAACAAACCCACCCTTCCTACACCAAAAGCGGCCTATCCCTCCATTTTGAGGAGATTTGGCCGATGTTTTTGTCGCCGGAGACGATTTCCGGCGAGACTCCGTCGAGGCTCCGACGAGCACTTCCGGGCACTTTTTCGGCTTTTCGTCGCTTCCATCGCCTTCCCCTCATCATCCCCCACACCTCTACTTGAGTCTCCAGGTTTGATTTTGCCCTTAACTATGTTAATTGTGGAGAATTGGGTGTTAGGGTGCATGTTTAGAGAACCTCATTGAATCTTGTGATTTTTGTGCAATTGATTGAGGGGAATGCATGGAGTGTGTTTGAATTGTGTTGGGCAAAGTCCCTCTTGATTTTTTGAGCCCTTGTGTGAAAGAATTGTGCCAATTTCATGCTTACCTTAATAGTGCACACAAGGTGTTCGATGAAATGCCTGTTTTCGCACCATTTTGTGGGGGTCGGTTCGGGAGGCTGTACTTCAGCCTCGCTCGGCCACGGCAGCTTCCCTTCAAGGCGGGGAAGACGAAGGCCAGCACATTGCAGCTTGAAAACCGTCTCCTCCATCACATGTTGGCCAAGTCTTACACCCCAGCCTCAGACAGTGCCAGCGCCATCACCAAGCGATCTCTGTACTTCATCCAGTCCATGCGCCAGAGGGATCATCCCCTACACTTGGGCTCGGTGGTGCCGAGGACCTTCGAGAAGAGTGCTTCTGAGCTGAAGAAACTCCACTGCACTCCCCTCATCACCTGCCTGGCAGAGTACTTCCAGATATCCCTGTAGGGGTGCACAGAGCAGGGAGGGACCACTCCCTTTGACCGGGCTACGATCACCAAAATGCTCCTGCTTCGAGAAGAGCGAGGTGTCATGTGGATCGAGGGGTTTCCTCAACCTCAGATCCCAGAGGCGGTTCAGCAGGAGGCTCCCGAGGGTGCAGCTGATGAGGAGGTCCAGCCCGAGGACGTGGATGACAGTGCTGCCGCCCGCCCCACCACCTTCGAGTATGGGGGTGGCAGCTCCAGTTTCCCGGGGCAGGATTACTTCACCTCCCAGTTCGAGCAGCTGCGTCTCCAGAACCAGCAGATCATCGACCATCGAATGCAGTTCCAGCAGCAGTACGCGGCTCATCAGGCCGAGTACCACCAGAGGATGGCTGGTTACGATGAGAGATTGGACCAGCTCCAGACCCAGCAGGGAGTGACTCTCGCACACATCGAGCGGGAGAGGCGCCGCTCTCGGCGCATGCAGGAGGTCCAGCAGCATCTGCTCCAGCTGCTCCCGGGCGAGCAGCCAGTCTGGAGGACTCCCTGGGAGGAATCTCTACTTCCACCTCCCCCAGAGGATGGTGATGATGGTGCTGATGGTGGTGACGCCTTCATGAACGACATCGTCTTCGATCTGGATAACCTCGGCGACGAGTAGGCTGTACTCGTTGCCCCTCTCAGTGTGTTTTGCTTTTCGTTTTAGACTTGTGTGTGTTTGCTCCATGTGTGAGGAGCTTGAACTTAGTGTCGTTTGTTTGTGATTTTGTTTGTTTCTTTTGTGGATTGTTTTTCCTATAGCCGTCTGGGCTAATACTTATCCCTAACACACCGTGTGCTAGTGTGTTCTTGGTGTTCGATTCGTGCAGAACTGTCCATCTTCTCGTTTGTTTCTCGCTGACTGGTCCACTTCCAGTCTCCCAGCAGTTTCAATCTGGTAACATCGTTCCCCTTCTCTATCCCTTTGCTCCATTGAGGGCAATGTCGTGCTTAAGTGTGGAGGGGTGCTTTGTATCGGTTGGAATGTATATATGTGTGCTTGGAGCCTAGTCCACTGTCCAAATCTCGAGATTTGAGGGCTCCAAGTACTGTTGGTTGATCATATTGGCACTGTGTTTTGATTGATGAATTGAATGGTTTTCGGATTGATTGTGACTAGGACAACCTATGATGAGGACTAAGACGTGCAGTAGAGTTGCGTAGGGGTTCAGTTTTTCAACTGTTTGCTTACCAACTGTGACTTGCATTGATTACTTGTTCTTGACAGTCGTTTATGCATCTAGTTCAGGGTATCAGAATGTGAGATAGAGCATATAGGTAGCCATGTGAGATTTGAGCCTGCTCGTTTCTTTCTTGTGCGATAGATCCCTCTTCCATGATGTGTAGCATTCACGTTGTCACTAGCTAAGATGATGGGGGCATAGGATTAGCCCACGACCAAATTTGACTGTCCTGATGTGTCATATCCCCTAGTCAGCCCTTTTGAGTCGTGTGTTATCCTTTCTTTTGGTCTGAAATGAAAAAAATCACCCTGTTTGCATCTTTTAGAAGGTTCCACAGAGTGGGTTGTACATGTTCTCTGCTGTTTCTGCTAAATTTAATGTGAATGTTGGAGGGAGTGCTTAAAAGTTGGGCTGGGCAGGTGTTTGAAATATATGCAGAAGTGGTGGCTCTCTTAAGAAATGAAAAGAAAATGAAAGAAAAACAAAGAAAAATTGGAAGCAAAAGAGAGCTACTACCAAAAATCTGAATAATGCCCAGTAAGTAGTGTTTCTTAGCAGTCTGGCTTGGAAATGCTGACATTTATACCTCCTTCGCTCTTGTGCTCTTGAGATATTGAGTAATGCAGAATAGCAGAAAGGAAATACCGGTTTGTTTGACTGTGATTGTTTGGGTTTGGAAATGTGGAACCTTGTGCTATGAATACTTCCACCACCTAAAAGGCCTTTTCCCCATGTCCAAGACCCTAGCCAGTCATTTGAACCTATGTCTAAGACCTCCTGATTAGTTAGTGGTGACACCCCATATGTGAACTCTAGCATTTAGAGGCTGCCATCATGGTGAAGAGATGTTAGGGATTGAGAGAAATAGCATGCGCATTTTTCGCATCAAATTGTCCTGACCCCACTAGTCGAGAGTGAGTGATTCATTTTCATATTCTATATACTCTTGTACCCCGGTGAGGACCTAGATTGCTCGGTCTCTATTCTGCTGTCTTGAGTTGGATGCATGAGTTGACTGTTTTGAGTAAGTGGTTGAGTCAAGTCTAGGTTGGTTGGTGAACAGAAGGGAGACTCTTCCTTTACTCGATTTTGCTGCACTCGAATGTCCTTTGTGGTGGTTGTCCAGGTTGCTATTGAAGTTGGTTAGGTATTGATGTTCGAAAACCAGTACGATTCACGTGTTCTGTGCCTTTATGACTTGTCCCCAATGTTGGTTGATTGGAAATATGTAAGCTTACCTTGTGTCTGACTTGGTTCGCTTGGGGACAAGCAAACGGTTAAGTGTGGGGGAGTTTGATAGACCGTTAATTACACATGTTTTTACCCCTGTTTTTACACCGTTTGAGATGTGATTTCTCGTGTTTTAGGCCGATTTCATGCTAGGTTGTGCTTGTTTGTGATATTTCAGGTCCTAGTACGTGAATGGAGGCTTGGGAGCGAGTTTGGGGTCGATTGGACGAAGATCGGGCGCGAGGCAAGTCACAAAGGAGGCCACACGGGCACACCCACAAATCACACGACCGTGCAACTCATATTTCTGTCCGTGTGAGATTGTGTGAGAGCAAACACGGCCTGCCCTGACAACACACACGGCCGTGTGAAGGAGTGGCCTGGCCGTGCGAGTTTCGCCGAGAGCAAACACGGGCAGATGGAAGTCACACACGGCCGTGCCACTCTGGCCGTGTGAGAAGCCTGAAGATCGAACTAATTGGAACGCAGCGTTTTGACTCACACGGGAAACTGGGCATGCCACACGGTCGTGTGGCTCTGCCCGTGTGAGTCGGTATTTCCTGGTTTTAACACAATTTCGGGCTGCAAGAGAGGGAATCGGACTTTTTGAGCAAAAACAGAGCCCTAGAGAGAGAAAGGACGAAGAACACATCCTAGAAGCCATCTTGGAGCTGGGTTTCATCAAATCAAGCTTGGAGATCGTCATAGGAGTGGAAATCATCATCCCAGAGCAGATTCTTCCCATCAGTATGAGTATGACTGCTTTGTATCTTGTTTTCCTCTCTCTCTCTATGGAGTAGAACCCCTCTCTCACTTGGGGATGAAGAACACTAGTTCTATGTGTTAGGGATTGATTGTAATGACTTGGGATGAGATTAATGTTTGATTTTAATCGAATGATGCATGTTTATTGAGTCAATTGAAGTCTGATCAACTTTTCCTGATCCCTGCTGCAATCTGAGATAGATAGAATCTGATTAGGTTGCTAGAGTCTCATCGTTCGATAGTAGGAGATTGGCTATATGAGAGTTAGCCAGTTTACTGCTTTGTACTGGAATTCAATTCCAATAGTGGAGTTCTGTTCTTACTGCTTCAGCTTTCTATCCCGGTGAAGACTAGTCGGCTGCCGGGTAGTTAGACTGAGAGGGCTTGGTCAGCTTAAGAGATTCCAAGCTACTGTCGGATCTTCGCAGTCTAATCAACAGTAAATCAACCCAGGGAAATACAATTGAAACCTAACTAAGGAGCTAGGGGGACTCATTCCCGAGTGACTCTTACCTGCTTGAGAAAACCGTATCAATTCCTGCTTTATTTCTGCTTTTGCTTTTAAACAAGAATCACTTACTTTAGTTGGCTAGATAACAGAGAATCACTGAGTAAGCAGTAGATCTAGACCCCGGGTTGATAATATAACTTGCATGTTACTGCATTCCCGGTCTGCGATTACACTTGGTCGCAGATTGGTGTTGTGTTTTGGCGTGTCACTAATCAAGTATCAAAACGTAGTTGCATCCACCATAGGGGAGCATGTCTCCTCATAATCATTGCCAGCTCTCTGCGAAAATCCTTGTGCGTCAAGACATGCTTTATATCTCACGACTCCACCCTTTTCTGGTGTAAGGAATATCGGTCCAAAAACCTTTCGCTTTGAAAGCGAGATTAATTCTCCCTCAATGGCCTCTTTCCACTTTGGCCAAACATCTCTTGACTTGCATTCATCAATAGATCTTGGTTCATGATCCTCATTTTCATTCATCACACTCAACGCTGCAGCATAAGCAAAAACATCATCGACGATTACTTTACTTCGGTTCCAACATTTTCAATCCAAGATATAATTGATTGAGATCTCTTTTAGGTAACTGATGTTCTTCAGGAACTACAATCTTCGTTATGCTTGGGGACTCTTCTTGAGCTTTCATATCCTCGATTTGACCATATTGATTCATAGCTCCTTTTATTTTTCGAGGATTTTTATCCTTGGAACCTACTGGTCTACCATGCTTCATTCGTGGTTTAGATTCATTTGCAATTTCAGATTGTCCAACAGGGACATCAACTTTCACTAGAGCATTTACAGATGGTATGTGTGACTTTGTCACTCTCTTCTGGTCAGTAAAAGAATCCGGCAGTTGGTTTGCTAAACCTTGTAAATGAATTATCTTTTGAACTTCCAGTTCACATTGTCTAGTACGAGGATCAAGGTGAGATAATGATAGTTTATTCCAACAAATGTCTTTTCCCAACTGTTTGTTCTAACCCCCTAATGTTGGAAAAAATGATTCGTCAAAATGACAATCAGCAAAACGAGCAGTGAATAAATCTCCCGTCAAGGTTCTAAGTATTATATGTTTGCCACGAGAACATACAACACATGGTACATCTTTAAACTGATAAATTTTATGACCTTTCAATGGATGTCCACATGTATTTGCAATGATTTTTCGCATCATAATCGATCCGCGATGGCCTAACCGGTCATGCCAAACTATAAAGTTATCAAGATTTGTAAACTTCTGGTTTACCCCTGAATGTGTTTCAATTGTACTAATAAACATGTAGTACAACCCAGAAAGAAATAGCAGGCAAATTCTCCAATATATATTCCTTACCGGAGACCATATTTGTTATCATAATATACTCTTTATTCTCTTCCTCATTTGTCTCAATATGATATCCATTTCGGCAAATATCTTTGTAACTCAACAAATTTCTTCGAAACTTTGAAGAGTATAAGACTTCATCGATATATAGTTTTGTTCCTTCAGGTAACAATACACTAGCTCTTCCGGAGCCTTCAATTAAATTAGTACCAATGTAGTCAAAATCGCGCTTTAAAACATAAAACTTACAATGTATGTTTCCAGGTCACTAAAACGCTTCTACACAAAATCTTAGTTTTTACAACTTATGTAGTTAAAAACTCCGCTTTAAAACTTAAAAACTCGCTTTTGACTACATTGATTAGTACTACCATATATGATACAAACATTTGTGTCTCACATTTCAAGATAAGAAAAATATTTATAAAATCTCTTGCCTAACATTGCTACTGCAGCAGCACATATAAATGTTCATTTTCCTTTCAAAAAATGTAAGAAAATTTCCATTGAAACTCTAAGAAAATCTCTTGCGTAACATTGCTACTACATGAGCACGTGTTAATAAAGTCTTGTCGTACAATGCTACGAAACCAATGAAAATTTCAATTACAATGATAACATACATACCCAATATTCGTATTTCCCTGTTCACTTCTTCCCTCACTCGCTATTTCCTTTGATACTCCACTTCTGGGGAAAATATTCTGAAACTATCAATTCTCTTCATGTCAATGTAAATAACGCTAAGAATATAATCATACACATATATCCATAAAATAAAAGAGAAGGTTGATGTACCTTAAACAAAGAATCTTTCTTGTAGGAGGTAGAGCTTCGTGCTGATAACATGTTGCGAAATAATTGTAAAGAGTAGTAGACAAAAGAGTAAGATTAGAGGCACAAGAAGGGAGGAGGAACATAGCTTTATTATTCATGTATTCCTAAGTACAAGAAGATCCTCTATTTATAGGCACACATAGAGGTGGCAAATGGATTGATCCATGGATTGTTGGATTCATGGATTGGATCAAGTGGATTGGTGGATTATCCATGAATCCAAATGACATCATCAACCAAGGACCAATATGTAAAATGTGAAAAGTTTAGGTACTAAAACGTCATAATGAAAAATTTTAGGTACCAAAATGTTATTTTCCAATGATATTTCTCGTATAAAAAATTAAATTTTGGGTACCAAAATGTAAAATATAAAAAGTATAGGTACCGAACAATAATTTGCCATTTGGATCCATGGATCAATCCATGAATCCACCAATCCAATTGGATTTAAATGGATTGGATTAGGTGGATATTTTTAATAACTGGTGAATTGGATTGGTGGATTGGATTGAGAATTGCCACCTCTAGGCACACATCACATAACCTCTATATTCTTACAATCAATATACATGAATGTGAGAATGAATGTGGAATTGGAATGGGTTGAGTGGTTACATGTAACTCCCAATAGTGGATCTAATGTAGTGGTCATTCATATTAATATATACATAATAGTAACTTTTTTATTTCACTATTGTTGTCATTTTGATGAAGTATCGTGATATTTTTCTTTCTTCTCTTGTTCTTCTTTTAGCTTGTTTGTTATTCTCTTAGAGGGGTTTCGTCCATCTAGGCTAATTATTCGATTATTATAATTTGATTTAATTATTTTTAGAGGAGATTATAAATATATTTGAGATTTAAATAAATCGTCTATGGTAATAGCTTCCTTGTCTTTGAATGTTAAATTATGATGATTGTTGGTTAAGGCGTAGTTTATCTGGTATGTTAATGAAAATGGTTTGCTATTTTCCTTCATAAAATTTTCTCTTTTTAGTTCATAATATATAATAATGGAAGAATCAAGATTACCATCAGATAGACTTAAACCTTGTTGTAAATTAATATCAAATTTAATTATTTCTACTCCTAGATTTGCTTGTCCATTTGCTATGATACTTTCTTCATCATTAACGAGTCGTTCATCTCTTATTTCTAGTTATATGGGAGCACTTATTCCTACTTTCATTGTTGATTTTAAGATAATCTGTATCGTACTAATATGAATATAAAATATTTTAATCCTTTCTTCTTGTTGTTATTTTGACAATTTTTTCCTAATTTGTTCTTTGTTTATTATTTGTATTAGAAAATCTCCTTTGGTTTGTTCTATAGGTACTGTTGCTTCTCCTATCATCTTTCTATATTTAATTATATTTTTCTATCAAATGGTTTACATGAAAATAACTTTGTGATAAAGTTGAGTCTCTGATAAGGTGAAATTAGTTCGTTCCTCGATTTTCTAAATATCTATTATACCATCTAAGAAATAATTTTCTTCTTTATTCTTGTTTAAATAATCAAAATAACTTTTACCGGTACTATGGTTATCAGACATACCTGGTTCTTGTTTAGTTTGAATGGTTTGGTGAGTGTTGTTTTATGTCTTCATGGTGATGCTGAGCGAAGAATGTTGATGATGATTGTTGGAGTTGCATTTGGGGATTTTTTGTGGGTTGATAATTTTTGCTGTGTAGTGTTTTTGATGGAGGATAAGAGTGTCTCCAAAGTTTTACCTCAAACACTCAGTGCCTTAGCACCTCAAAACAGAGTCTTGGCTTTGAGAGAAAATTCTCAACTGAACCTTTTCCCTGCCTCTTTATGAGGGCTTCACGTACATATTTATAGCAGGTTGATGTAAGAGCTTACATCACATTCCAACAAGTGAGAAAACAAACAAACAGACTTTACATTACAAGGCTCCATTATTGCAGAGAAAGTGGACAACGAGATACAGGACAAGGCTAGTGTGATGGCGCTTTCATCTTTTTTATTTTGTCTTGAAGATGAGTCATTCTTGTCTTCATTCTTTCTATTCTTCATTATTGAAAATTATAATATTGAAGAAAATGAAATAATACCAGAGGAAACACATGATATCTTACTATCGAAGATATGAAAGAATGTCTGAAAGATCATAAAAATTCTGGAAAACTAACAATTGTTGCACCCTACACATTATGACAACTATTGACAAAAATATTAACAAACTAAATTATTTTCTAATGGCTCTAAGTATTGAGTCCACAAACAAAATAAAATGTTGAAAACGAAAAGGTAGTTTTAGAATATAGTAGTAATGAAAATCCATATAGAAATTACGTCCAAACAGAAAATAATCATTTTTATTCTAGTGATCAAGGAGGAACCTCACAAACAATTCCACCAAAACATAAAAAAAGAAGATTTAATGAATATAGCGATAAACAAATATCCTTTGACGAATATCTCTATAAAAATTACTACGCTCCTCGTAGAGAGGGATAATTGACTAAAATTCCTCACTCATATATTCCCAAATATTCACAGCAAGTGATAATAGTCCAGATATTTTTGATTTAGTTTGCAGTACTAATCAATTAAAAGAACTAGAAGATTGAAAAAATCAAACATGACTATTAATTCAAACCAACGAAGATTTAAAGAAACTACAACCTAGTGAAATATTTAATTTCCTAATATATAAAACCACCTGAATAGTTTACCACTATCTAAGTACAATGGATATTCCAACAAAAATAGTTCTATACAGAGATGATGCCATAAAAACTTTTTAAAAAATATTAAATGCACTAACTTATGAGTTCCTGAGAAGATATCCACGGAAAAGAGAAAACAATGCAACCTTAAGTAATCAAGCTATTTGACACAAATAAGTAGCTATGCTGGTCTTTTAAAAAAGGGGGGGGGGGGGGGGGGAAGAGAGTAAGGAAGTAAACAGATTTTCTTCGCCCCAATTTTTTCCCAGCAGGTCCATGGATTCCCAATTTCCCATTCATTCCCCTATCATCATCTTCTTCTTTCCATTGTTCCCAAAACTTACCCAATTGTCAACTCCGAAATTTCACTTATCCCCATATCCAGGCATTAAATATTAGATCATATAAGTAGATCGCATCGCTTGGAGTGGAGACGGCTGTCATAATGGAACTTTGAAAAGTCCCCGGTCCTGCTCTTCTGCTAGACCTGACGTATCTTGTTAAATGGCGATGAGACAGTAGGTGCCGGAGCAACGAAATTGCAGATATGATGGGGACTATTTGCCGGACGTTGGGGTGGATGAGGACGAAGAACACAATACACTGTATTCCTT